GGGAGGGAGGGAGGGAGGGAGGGAGGGACGGAGGGAAGGAAGGAAGGAAGGAAGGAAGGGGTAAAGGGTAATATTCCTCCTGAATTGACAATCACGTGTATTCCTTTCAAGTCCTTCTAAATCAAGCATTTATCACCAGAAGGCTCCAAAATATTGGCCGTGAATGTAGACACCAGGTATTTTTGTTCCTATACTAGTTTTTACTATCGTTGTTTAGTAGGTTCTCAACAATATATGAAAAGAAAAATCTTAGAAGGACTTAGTAGGCCCTCAACAATATGTGAAAAGAAAGATCTTCGAAGTAGTGCTGAAGAAACACTTACTTTTTTTCGGAAAAATTCCAAAAAGTGTGCTTTTTAGTGCCAAATGCTTGAATGAGAGCCAAAATAAATTGTTTAATTATCCAGCTTTAGTACCTTCAACACCATTATCAACTGTGGATTCTGCACATTTTGAATCATTTATATAATGGAGTTTAATGACATTTATTTTAGATTTTTTGCAGTAGAGAATCAAGAAGAAAAGGAGATAAAGCAAGACCATGAAGTGTTTGCTTTACATAGAGGGAAGAATTTTTTGTTACTACTCGATCCTTGTTATTATTACTTGTTAATGATAAAATAGAGTAAGGAGACTTCTTGATTAAAATGTTTGAAGATTATTAATCCCCACTTTTCCCATATGTTATCAGGAAAACCTTGAAGAGAGGCAGAGAGAAATAAGATTAATTCTGGGGGACTGTTAGAATTTTATGACTGGGTATTCCCCAAGTGTTGATTTATTCACATTTACATTAATGATAGCAGTACCTCAACAGTCATCAGGGAAGTTGATTTGAGTGGTTTGTGTCAAATGAATGGATGTCCACCTTAAAGGCAAGTATGTTTCTTCAGATCTGACATATCATTTGAATCAATCTCATCTCAAAACTTGGGAAAACGTCTATTATGTTAACCTTTCCACAAATGAATAAGGATTCTAAAATTTGGGAGTATTTCTAGCAGTATCATTAGGAACTGGATTAAAAAATGGTTTTAGCAATTTCTCATTTAAGCTCCCTCAGTGAATTTAAGAAATGTCAGGTAAATCTAGAAGCCTTAGAAAATATACCACATAGCTAAAGTATTTTCCTCAAAGTATATAATTGTCAGATACAAGGTGCATATTTACCTCTTTTTGAGCCCTAACTCTTGTGTTTTATCCAGGTGGATTATATTATATTTTATTTAGATTAGTTAGGGTTTATGAGAATGAGTTTTTGGTTTGGTTTTGATTGTGCATGATATTCTGTTATTTCCATAAGAAGGCAGAAAAATTAGAATATATTTGATTCTTCCTATTTTGTTACACTGAGTAAAATATGATGTTTGGCCATGGTGATGTTTATTAAAGGGATCAATTCAGCCAACGGAATTTGGAAACCCATGGCTTAGGATTTTCCATCTCTTCTACTAGAAAACAACTTGTAATATGTGCCTTACTAGCATGTATATACTATACATTTCTAAATAAATAAAAATTCTTTTAGAATCATTCTCTTAAAAACAATGATAATATTAATTTTTTATAATCTCTATACTGTTTAGACATGCATTACTTTAGAATTAATAGGTAGGACAGAAGATTAAGAAACAGAGTATAAATCCCTATAAATACACTGATTTTGGAAGCACCCTGTGGAATTTCTGACTAATTTTCTTCAAAACTTTATTTTCCCCCCACCAGCTTTATGTTAATCACACTCTACTCTGAAAAACTTAGAACCACTATTATAGGTTTTAGGGAGTAATGAGTTTCAGATCTCAAGAGAAAATGTCACGATGTCCTTAGTGACATTAACACGGCCCAGCATCACCTTTTACTTAGTTTGTAGGATAGTTTATAAAGTTGACATAGTTTACTTAGGCATAAAGTGAAATAAATCAAATATATTCTAATAGTTCTGCCTTCTCATGGTAATCACAAAGTACTGCCCATAATTTTTTAAAAATAGCAGAAACATTTCATTTTTATCCTCTACAAATTCTTCCTTTTGCTAATCTATGACTCATTCTTACAGACTGGTCTTTTACAGAGACAGAGCAGATGGAGCTTTAGACACAAGAACATCAGGATTCTACTCACTGTACACAATTGCATATCTCTTAGCCATGCTGCTTAAACTACAAGAGAAATAAATATTACATATAAGCCTCTGTGTGTGCTTTTGTACTCACTGTAATTTTAAATTATGATCTATAAGAGGACAGCTCAATAAGTGACTGTTAATCAGATTATCACATCACTTTCCATCTTGTCTTGATGGGTAGTACAACAGCCATGAAGGCAACTGTCACCTATTTTACATTTTGTATATTTTCAAGGTTTTCTTCCTCATTTATCCATTCAGCAAATTTATAATTAGTACCTACTATGCACCAGGCATTGTTCTAGGTATTGGAACAAAATATGCAAAAATACACACCCACAAAATCATCATAGCAATGAGCTTGCATTCTAGTGGAGAAGAAAGAAAACTGACAAATACAAGGAACATGGTAGTAATACCTTTATAAGTGTTATGAAGATAAGTATAACAGAGAAGGGTGGGAGAAACTATGAAGGGCTGCAATTTCAAATGGAGGAAGTCAGGGAAGACCTTAGAAAGCAGGTTCAAGCAAAGATCTGATGGAGATAAGCAAAGAAAGCCCTTCTGTGGGAGAGTGATCCTAACAGAGGGAGTAATGAGCACAATATTTTTTTCCTCGGGAAAATGAGGAGGAACCAGAGAAAGGGAATGAGTGAGCAAGCAGAAGACCAAGAGCAGGTGTATCCTGAAAGAGCACAAAGTGTTTCCAGAAGTAAGGAGTGATCGATTGTCTAATACGTGACTAGTAGGTCAAGTGAGGTTAGAAGTTTCATGTTGTTATGGGAATCACAAATATGCAGTTCCTAGGAGAAAGCTTTGCAAAGCCCCCTTCACGTGATGTGTGCTTTCATAAGCTCCTCCTACTTCATTCCACTCCTCTCATCATAATATTCCCCCATCCAATAATAAGCAGTCAGGCCTGGCATCAGGAGAAGTCAATATCTCAAGTTTGTCCTCAGGGTTTTTCACTAGTTACCTGTGGTCCGCCCCGACCCTTTGGTGTGGTACCGCGTGCAGCTCCAGCCTATCAACACTCAGAGAGTTCTCACCTGGAGCCAGACATACAGAGTCTCAGGAAAATCAAGCTGCTCCAAGCGACTCTGACTTCCCCCAGATCTTATACACACATGTCAAAGACAAAGTTAGCTTTGAGGTTATACAGATCCACAGAGAGAAAGATCAAGTGTTTAAAAACATGGGCTTCCTGGCATAATTGGAATTCCATCTCTACTTTGGATTTAGCCTCTCCATACCTCAGTTTCTTCACTTAAAAATGTGAATAATATTGCCCTTCTCAAAGGGTTTATTTTGATGTTTAAACAAGTTAATACCTGAAAGCATTTAGAATGGTTCCTGGCATGTCGTAAACACCATGTACGTGTTTGTAGTACTGTCACAATACATAAAATACGGTAGAGATAATGACCTTTAGAACAGTATTAGCCTGAAACAAGTTCAGATGGAAAAACAAAATGAAAGAAAAGTAAAAACCATGAAGGAGCACGGGCCCTTCCAAATGATATTATAAAGCTCTATAGTTAAAATAAAGTGGTATTAGTGCATGACTAGACCAGTGGAATAGAATAAAGATTCCAGAATTAGATCCAAATATATACGGTAATTCAGTTTATGACAAAGATGTCATCTGAAATAACTAGGTACAAATGGAATTATTGTTATTGGTGCAGGATCATCTTGATCATCATTAAAAAACATAAGATCCTTTCCTTAACACCCAATACAAGAATAAACCCCAAATGGATTGGGGATCTAAATAAAATTGAAAACATAAAAATATCAAAAGGAAATGGATGAATTCCTCTTGATGATTGACTAATTTGTCTACACAATTTTTTTAAATTATGGAAAAATATTGTAAACAAAGTCAAAATGCAACTGACAAGAATAGGAGAAAATATTCATAACATATAGCACAGACAAAGGGCTAATATCTCCAATAGGTAAAGAACCACTGAAGGAGGAAGAGCCAAAGATCAAATAGAAAAATGGAGAAATGATACAATCAACAAACCAGACAAAACCGTTCCCATTTGAGGCAAGGGTGGCTTGCATGACACTGCTTTGATCAGTTATTTTATATGGGTTGCCTCTGGAAGAAGGAATGAACTTGGGAAGGTCAGTTTTCTTTATCTAATGCAATCCCTAACAAATTGACAGCTGGGAAATATGTCTTATATTCTTAAATTTATTTATTTATTTATTTTTTTGAGACAGAGTCTAGCTCTGTCACCAGTCTGGAGTATAGTGGCATGATCTTGGCTAACTGCAACCTCCACCTCCCGAGTTCAAGCATTTTTCCTGCCTCAGCCTCCCGAGTATCTGGGATTACAGGTGTGTGCCACCACACCCAGCTAAGTTTTGTATTTTTAGTACAGACGGGGTTTCACCATGTTGGCCGTAATCCACCTGCCTCTTAATGGGAGCCAACATCTTCAGCCTTTCTGCTGCTGTAGAATTTCTTTTGCAGAAAACACAACTGGCTCACCTGCTTTATTGAGTTTGA